AGATTTGACAAAACCACGTAATTACCAATGTCCCCAGTATCGATTTTCAAGAGATGTTCTGCCACGAGCCGACCTGTCTTCACATCATGGTGGGTCCTGCAAGCCCCAAGAAGTGTTCCCCATATATTAGCATTAGCTTCAACAGGCATTTGATTTAGGAAGGATAAAGCTTCCTTAGTTTGTCCTCCTCGACCGAGGAGATCCACCACACAAGCATACTGCTCCATGCTCGGCTCTAAATGGTGCACCTGTGATATCGAATAAAAAATCTCAAGTCCTTCGTTAATAAGCCCTGCATGTCGGCAAGCGGACAAAAGGGCGGTCAAGATGACGTGATCCGGTTTAAAGCCACAGTCAAGCATTTTGTCAAAGACCCCTAAAGCTTCCTTCCCCATTCCATGCATGGCCATTCCTCCGACCATGGCCGTGAAGACTACAAGATCTTTGAAAGGAGCTGACAGGTAAAGCTTATACGCACTACTTATGCTCCCACACTTTGAATAAACGTCTAAAAGGGCAGCTTTTAAATGGGTATCCTCAAAACAAGCCCTTACTATGTATCCATGACATTGTCTTAGAAAATGAACCGAAGCCATTTGGCTACAAACCGGAAGAATGCTCATGATAGTCATAGCGTCTGGCTTCAATCCTTGACTCTGTAACTCCCAGAACGAATTAATAGCCTCGTTAGGACACTCGTTTTGAGCATAACCACGCACCATGAGGTTCCAAGTAGTGAGATCCCTTGTGGACATCCTCTGAAATACAGTATTTGCATCTTCGTGCAAACCATGAGCCAAAAATCCCGAAATCATTGAGTTGCACGTAACTACATTCCTCTTCCCAGATAAATTCACAAACATTTTCGATGCGTACTCCATACATCCGCATTTGGCATACGCGTCAAGCAATGCATTTCCAAGAGTGGGTTCATTGTCAGTAAGCAGAATACCGGATGTCAAAGAAAATCCATGGGCTTCTCTAACATTTCTTATTCTGGAAAGGCTAGCACAGAAATGGACCACTGTCAGTAAAGTAACTGCATCAGGTTTTATCCCGTCCAAAAACATCCAATGTAAGAGGTTAGCAAATTGATCTGCGAGTAAATTTACTCCAAATGCATCGAGCATGGTATTCCACGATATCAAATCTTTGTGGAGAACAAGTGAGAATACCCAAAAGGCTGATTCGGTGCACTTGCATTTAGCATAAAAGTTTATCAGAGCATTTCCAACGGACGTATCCTCATGTAAAACGCTATGCCGCAATACATATCCATGTATCTCTTTTCCCACTTTCAGGTTACGTAGCTGAGCACAAACAGGAATTATGCTGATTATGGTGACAGAATCCAACTCAATCGCCTTCTTATCAACAAATTCGCGGAAAATCTCTAATGCCTTCAGCCATTGTCCAGTCGAAGCACACCCAGAAATCAATGAATTCCAACTAACCAAATCCCTGAATTCCATCCTTCCAAACAAAGACTCTGCTTCAGTTATTCTCCCAATTCTCAAATAAAAGCTCAACAGAGCATTAATCACTGTGATTTCATTATCAAGCCCGGCTCGCCTCAGCACATGACAGTGTATCTGTTTTCCAAGCATCCGACCGGCAGTGCTACTTTTACCCAAAGTAGCACAGATCGGCAGAATATTCACAATGGTAGCATAATTAGGCGTCACAGGCCCTTTAATCATCTCACAGAAGAGTTCAAGCGCACTTCCCTCAAGCCTATTCTCGGCTAAACCTGAAATTGCAGCATTATACGAAACAACATCTTTGTCAGTAATTTCACGGAAGACAGCACGTGCATCGAAAACGAGACCACATTTGGCGTACATCGAGATTAACGCATTCCCTACCAGTGTCTGTGACTCCATTCCAGACTTCATGGCATATGCATGAATGCACTTTCCAAAACCCCGAGCGCCCGAGCGCGTACATACAGGAAGAACAATGGCAAGAGTGACATCACTGGGTTTGGGATCCCGAGCGGCATGGAACGTGTTAAACAGCTCCATCACCCTATGATCATGATACCTTGAACCGGAATACCCGGACAAGAGAATGTTCCAAGTGACGGTATCACGATCAGGGATTTCATCAAACAGCTTCTTGCAGTCATCGAGTGCTTTGCACTTGGCGTACATGTTGAGTAAAGCTTTTGTGATGATGCAGCAATAGTTAAGCCCCAGTTTAATGGCATGACCGTGGAAAGATCTCCCAAGATCGGCCTTTGATGTCGAAGCACAGGATTTAAGAACATCAGCAACCACTTGACGACTGGATTGGTGAACAGCCACATATCGTCTCCTCTGAAGTAGGAGGGAAAGGGCTTCACTCATTGGGTCTGTACTCATCAAAGGTCCGACCTTTTTACAAAGGGATTCCAAATCCTCCCAGCTTTGTAACTTTCAAGAACTAATCAAAAGCCAAAACTGTGGAGAATAGTTCAAAATTGCTGATGGGGTGCTGGAGGTGGGGGACCCCAGAAAATCCACTGTTCTTACAACCAGGAATGAAAGGTTTTAGTAGGACCATCGCCAGTCGAGGTTGGGTTTAGGCTAACTGTGTGGGCGCCCGCCGAAGGTGTCAGCTGAACCGGAAACTGACCGCAGCTCGAGCTTAGAGCAAGGAATGGCGTTCAGACATTTTCGCAAACAGGTGGCGGGAATCGAGCGTTTGCGTTGGCCCCTGAGCTTGGGCTTGAGAGAGGCTGTTTGATTAACGCTAATCCAAACATTGATTGTATATAAAGATTGGGAAACTTTTTAACCGTGGAGTGTCTTCTGTTCACCCCAGTATTGTAGATGGATGTTAAGTGAAATGGTTTCTCACCGATTGTTTAGTAGGTAATACCGTACACCGGTTTTGCTATAAAGCCAACCGTTGGTCCAACTTTCTGTATATAACAATATATACAACAAGTAAATTTATCATATTCTTTAATTACTTAAATAACACTAATATAATTTTATTAATATGGTAAATTTACTTGTTGTATATAGAAGATTGACTCCACTATGGAGTCAACTGTTGGTTTCATAGCGAAATCGTACCTTCCATTAATTTGTATTGAATTCTTTTGGATTAGACAATGACAAATAGTTTATGTGTCTATTATATTATTTCCGGATAAGATTACGTATGAAACATTATTTTGCATTGGATTTTTTTACATTAGACAATGACAAATGGTTCATCTGTCCATTGAATTCTTTTCGGACAAGGCCATGTGGAATATTAATTCGCATGGCCATGTGGAATATTAATTCGTATTGCATTCTTTTGCATTGACAGTGACAAATGAATAAACCATTACTTTGCATTTGATTCTTTTTTATTGGACAATGAATGAATAAAACCATTACATTGCACTGGATTTTTTTTTCTCTATTTATAGAACCTACTTCATTATATAATATTACACGCATTACTCATTTCTTCTTCCATTGCAATTTTCTTGTCCCTACGTCACTCTTCTTGAATGTCTAATTTTCTCCTCAAAAGTTGACGACAAAATGTTTTCTTCGAAGGGACCAAAATACTCCAAAGTAGAAAATGCCTTAATGAGATGTTACATAAGCGTTACACATAATCCAGTAACAACAAATGGCCAAAGTTCTTCCAGAATTGCAAATTGAAGAAGAAAAATGAATACCAATTTTGTCAATATTTTATTACTATAAATGCTAAAAGTGATACTATTGTTGTTTTGTTGTGGAAGGTCGAAGAACAACAAAGTGACCAGCTTCAAATGCAGAAACAACAACTTGATTTGCAGAAAAGGATGGATGAAGATAGAATACTGATGATAGATTTGAGTTCTTTCCAAAGGGCCGGTTCCCCTTGCGAAAGATGTGCGAGATCCAATGGCAGTCGATTTTACTTTTATAACTACACATTCAGCCTCTTCAATGAGATTCTCGAACCCATCAGTGAACCTTTATGCTTAGGCTTTTGCATTTAAAAGCAAGTGTAAAATTTTCCATTTGCAGACCCAAAATATGTAAAGCTAATGTCTCATTTATTCTACAATTGAAATTGTATTAGTCTAAGGCTAAGAGCATCTTCAATGGACTGTTAATTGTGAGATTGTAGAAGGAATCCGCTGAAAAACTTTCCAGCAGTAATTTTTATACTTCTATTGCAGATGATGTGTCATGAGAGACAAAATAAATCTAGAAGTTCTTCTACATGTGAAAGGACTTCTAGACTTGCTGACTCATTTTTCACCCTTTATTTATTTCTTTTATCTTTAAATAATAATCACCGTAAAATATATAACTACGACGGAGATGTTCTTATAAAAAATACACATGAAGGTGAAGATGGGTAATAGCGAATCAATAATGACAACATACTTTGTCTATATTCACTCTATTTATGAATTAAATTCACTACAGAAACTGTGACTTAAATTGACGTAGCGTGCAATATATAAATATATATTGTTGAAAAAATATGTGTATCTCTTTTTTTTAGAACGACAAAAAGAAGAAGTCTATGTATCCATTCTTGTAAAACATGAAAGGAAGAAGTCTATGTATAGATATCTACCAAAATATTGTGATTGGTTCAAAGTTTGTTGGACGATTAAGGTTTTTTTTTTGGTTTTTTTTAACAGCAAAAGGAAAAAAAAAAACGTGCATTGATACTTACAATGTACAAACATCAACCACTGGAGAGTGATTTAGTTTATTCAGTCCACGTGAAGAGAAAGACTTCTATTTAATTGCCTTGTAGATTGCAATTCACATCCATAATTGCAGATGCTTTAAAATCACCCAGAATTGGAAAATTACAACAGTCAGGTTTTCCTCAACTACTACACCAACAAAACAGGAAAACTACCTCAGCCAAATCTAGGAAAAAAAAAAAAATTCCCAAGAGACTGTTAGCCCCCAAAAAAAAAATGAAAAAAAAAATACAACAGAATCAAAAGAAACAATGAGAAAACAGCCATTATACAACAGTTGTAAGAAAACGGGTACTAAGTGCCCATATTACAGCAACATCTCTAGTTCTCTACTTGTTCGCATCAATCCTCGGTTTTCCAAACTACATCCTCCAGGGAAGTCGACAAGTTTTTATAGAACTGCACATAAGACGACAATAAATAAATAGTTTCTAAGGGCTTGTCGAGAAACTAAGATTATCATACTAAAGGATCAAACCTGTTCACTATTTCTGTCCTGCACATTCAGGCACAATATATATGAAGATATTCAATTTTATAGAGTGAATGAGATGTTACTGCATATAGCCACAATTTCGGCTAGTACCGTTTAAGGGTGGCCCACAAGTTGTATAAAAATATTCAAAAACTTATTTTCAGCTAAATACTGTTAGTCAACCAAAAATTATACTCAAATCAGGTACAAGTTCTAACCTTCTATCGGTATATTTCACAAGCAGTTAAGCCATTATTTATTAATTTCAATTTGATTCAGTGGAGGACTACTATTAACCATTTTAAGAAAGCAAAAGGTTGACTGGATACACATTTTATAGAATAAGCCAGTTAATGACGGGCCAATATGCATGAGAAATTGGCAAGAATCCGAGAAAAATGTGGTTTTTATTCAACAATCAACATAGACAAAAAGGCAAAGTTAAAGTACATTTTCCAAATACATCATCAACATACCCAGTATATTCCCAACAGGCTGGGGTCTGGGGGGTCAGTTGTACGCAGACCTTACCCTTGTAATTATACAAGGAGGCTGTTTCCATAACGACCCAAGGTGCGTTGCGTCGTTTGATATATTTTTTTTTTCTAGAAACTTCACTAATAGAAGAAGTACATTTTCCAAAGAAATAACAATTAGATAAGACTCCCCAAGAACTATGTACCTTATGAAACTCTAGAGTATCTCCCTTTGCCTTCCTAACCTCAACCATATGCAGAGAAGGGGCCACTTGAAAAACCTGATTCGAGCACATAATATGCGTTGATTAACAGCAAATATATGATGAGACCAAAATGGTTCGGTGGAAATCGAGATCCATCTTTAATAGAACAGGAGATAGAAAATTTAGACGGCATAATATACAATACCTCAGTGGCGACATTAAGGTTGCCTTTTCTTCCTGCTTTTGAATTTTGGAGCCTCATCTGGAAAATAAATTTCAATAAAATCATTAGGATGAATAGAAGAGTAATGTGGTGTCTAATTCACTACTTTAAATAAGCATTTAGTCAAATAAGAGCCATACAAAATGCAAAACTGATAAAAGCAAACCGAGAATCGAATAATTACCTTGTAATTCTTCTTGTGAACATCAAAACCGAGAGGTTTAGCAGCTTCTTCGATTTTGCTGATTATCTCGCTGGCTGGGGATTTAGATGTGAACCTTGTCTCCCTCTTGAATCCCTATTTACAGTGTCCAACCATGTGTGATAATTGTGTGAATGTCAAAACAATTTAAAGACTTTTCACTTTAAGAAATAAAATAAAATCAGAGGTAGCATTTTATCTTTACTTGACCTACTAAAATACATTGAATCACAACCATATATATATTTCCCAATGTTAAACATGACATTCATATCGTGTTGCCGTGTAATATTCGTGTTTCACTATAGTGTTGTCGTGTTATCGTTATATTCATCTATCTTATACCCAGTTGCACCGTAAATTTCATATTTTGTGTTATTCGTTTCATGTGTATCATATTGTTTGTCTCTATAACGTGTTTTCTAATCGTGCCATGTTGTATTCGTGCTTCATGTCATCTCAGCCATTACCACCTTAAGAAAAGCCAATAACAAACTAATTATACGTTGTAATCTTTACAGGGGAAAAAAAGAACTCAAACCTGTTCCACATCAAAAAGGTTCCCGAGATTGAGACCTTTTGACATTGAAATCAACTCAAAGGCATTCATGGCAGCAGGCTGCTCCTCCTTTTTCTCTGTCACGTGATATTCCTGCAGCTCCCACATTTTTTTTTTTTTTTTTTTTTAACAACTAATGCTATGTCATAAGGGGATTTAGAAAGTACTGAAACCCACGCACTTGCGGGAACATACCTCATAATCCTTGAATACGGCTTCCACATCATCCAGATTGGCATCTTCTGTCTCGTCAAACACCGGTGGTCTATAGTCCTTCTTAAACCACCCGTCCTCTCGAATATCCGGGATTGTGATGCGCTGCACAAATGTAAGTCATAGTGCATTAATAATGTATTCTCTTCATGTATAGTGAGAGGGATAGCTATCTGAGTATAAAATTATGTTCCTTGCTTTACTCCGACCATCTGATGTTTTAGTATGTTTTTGTCAGCTTCACAGGGATAATGTTAAGCTTTACAAATCAATAAAAGTAGTAAAGGCATTGAAAAGGTTACTTTCATCATACGCTAATCAAAGAAAGTTGTTTATACTTTTTTTACTGACAAGGAAGTTGCATGTGCTACGCACATGATATTGTAGTTCTCTTTTTTTACTTCAAATTGTTTTATTACTAGATTTATATTTGACAGTATAATAAAATTTTATTTCCATTAGTTTAACAAAATGGTGTATTTTATAATAAACAATAATAAATGCATTAAATAATGAAATATAATATCTGATAGTATTAACCACACGCTATTATAAATAAAATTAAACAAAAAAATTTGGACTGAAAATTCAAAATAAAAATTATTTTTTTATTACTGAAATTTTATATGCTAAAAAAATCTATGTCGTCATTGATTCATCATTATGCTTAATATAATGTCATTGTTATTGTCACCATAACATAGTTTAATACTTTGATATATACTTTTTCTTTGGATATAATGACATAAGAGATAAATAAATATTCAAAAATGTCTTTAAAGTAGTAACTATTTAAAAACAAAATTAACTGAAAAAGATTAGGAACAATAACATCTTTGATTGATTAAAGTGCCCATCTATCTATATATTGTCTAACATTGGATGATGAAGGTACTCATCTATATGCATTGTCCAACATAATATATTGTTACATCTCCTAACATTGCCATGCACGCAATATCATTTTAGTTCACAAATTTTCAAGACTATCCTAAATGTGAAAAATAACAATTCCAATTTAAATAAATTAAAAAACGACAAATTTCTCGTAATAATTTTATCTTAATATTACTTTTACTTTTTATATTTGTTAATATTTTATATATTTAATTTTTCCTACGTTTGAGAAGTGATTAAAATCATTCATAAGATTGGCTAACTACAATAAATTTAAAGTAAATATACCATTTATTTGTATTAAATTAAATTTTAATTGTTACTACTTTCTAATAAGTACACGTATTTTGAAATCCAAGACTTAAAATCAAGTTTTCGTTAGTTTATTTCAATAATTACAGTATTTTTATTAAATACTTATATTACAGTTTAAATGGAAAACTAATTTATGTGTGACATATTCACAAAAGAACATTTATACTATACATATTATTAACAAGTAAACTTAAAATATATTATTCATATTGTTTTAATGAATAATTTAAATGAAATGTTTCGATTAATATTAAATATTTTTCAATGAATGAATAACATTTTTACAAAGAAATTTGACATTTTGTATGTTAGAAGAATTATATTTGATTCAATCACTCATAGCCATATGAATGTTCACTAAATCGTTCCTCTTTATCTTTTTTAATAGTATAACAAAAAATCTCTATAGTAAACAATATATGATATTTGGAAATTGGCGAGATACTTTCATTGGTGCATTATATGTTTCACACTTATGAAATAAAATATGTTATACTAAAAAAATATTAAAATAATCTTTTCTCTTACAATTAAAAACCACCTTTAAAATGACCAAACCGAACCAAACGTCATATATATATGATAAATAAATTAAACAGAAACATTGGTCTGAAAATCTAAAATATAATAAAGATTTTTTATTTTTGTGAAATTTTAAATGCTAAATAAATCCATATCGTCTTAAATTTAGTTGTTTAATGATATCCTCATCATGCTTAAAATAATTATCATTATAATTGTCATCATAATATAGTTTTTATAATATCTTTCTTTCACGTCATACTCCTTGAAAATAACTCGAACGTATTATAACTATCATTTCACATGATCATTTTTATTAATTGGAAGTTAACCAACTATGTCAATGTTTCATTCTCTATTATTTTAATTATAGTGGTTGCAAATTCAATTATATTTGCAAGTATAATATTTAATAATATATTTTCTCTTTGTATATAATGTCATAAGAGATAAATAAATACTCAAAAATATCTGTAGAGTCGTAATTATTTCAAAAATAAAATTTACTTAAAAGAACAATAACATCCTTCAAGTACCTATACATCTATATATATTACATTGGTTGATGAAGGTACTCAACAATATACATATATGTCCAACATAAATTATTGGTTCATCTTCAAATATTGTCAGGCATGCAATATCATTTTAGTAATCCTAAATGTGAAAAAATAAATAATTACAGCTTAAATAAATTATAAAACGGTGATTCTCTCATATTTTGATTTTATCTTAATATTATTTTTATATCTTCATCAATATTTTATATAGTTTATTTTTCCAAATTTTGAGAAGTAATTAAAACATTTAAGTTATGAATAATTTTATAAATAATATTCGCTAATGACGAAAAATTTAAAGTAAATGTACTATTTATTTTCACTTAATTGATTTTAACTGTAATTATTTTCTAATAAGTACACATATTTTCAAATTAAAGATTTAAATTTTAGTTTTAGTTATTTTATTTTAGTTTTAGAATAACTATGTTTTTATTTATATTACAGTTAATGGTAGATTAAATTATGTATGACATATTATCACAAAAGAATATTTATATTATACATATCATTAACAGGTAAACGTAAATCACATTATGCATATTGTTTTAGCGAATAATTTAAACGAAATATCTCTATTAAGATTTTATATTTTTCACTTAACGAATAACTTTCTTCTATAGAATTTGACATTTGTTACGTTGGAGAATTATTTTTTATTTAAGCACTCTTAACCATAGGAATGTTCACTAAATTGTTTTTCTTTAACTTTTGTAATACTATAACCAAAAATCTCTATTGTAAATAATCTGATATTTAGAATTAGAGATGAAATATATTCCACGCTTATGAAATAATATATACTTTATTTAAAAAAACCTTTAAATAATATTTTCTCTTATTTTTAAAAACTACATTTAAAATAACTAAACCAAAACCTATTAATCCTGAATATTGTAATTAAGAAAAAATTATTTATTTATTAACTATGAATTTGTGTAGATAATATTTTTGCGTGTGCAAAAACTTAAAGATATAATTAACTATAAGAAATAAAAGATAATGAATGAAAATAAATTAAGAAATTGAGGTTTTAAAATTAACCAATATTGTTAGTTGTAACTTCCTAACATTAATAAGAAATTACGCTAATTACCTTAAATCTGTCCATTGCAAGTGGAGCTGGAAGAGTCATTGTTGACAATTCTCCTGGCATAATGCTAATAATGGACTAGATCAAAATGGTTCAATTAAATTCTAGTGCTTCTTCTATTAGTGAAGTTTCTAGAAAAAAAATATATCAAACGACGCAATGCACCTTGGGTCGCTACAGAAACAGTCTCCTTGTATAATTGCAAGGTTAAGGTCTGCATACAACTGCGTACAACTGACCCCAGACCCCAACCAGTTGGGAATATACTGGGTATGTTGTTGTTGTTGCTGCTAATAACCTTAAAACTTATCTTTATTGGCATTATTGGCAATTCAAAAGTTTCGTCTTCCTTTTAAGAGAGTTATATATATATATATATAGCACTACATACAATTAAAAACAACGGTTCTCACAGTTCTCACGTTAGGGTTTGGTTCTCATTTGAACCACATCCTATATATATATAATATAAATATAAACACCAAATAAAAGTATTTTGACATGTACTATGATGAATTATTGTCGGCTAATATTTAAAAAATCTCATCAAATGTTTATTATTAAGTTCTTACGTTCTCGGGATTTGGATCCAGGATACGCGCGATCAATTTCATGGAACCAAAGGAAATCCATGGAGGACAGGTAAATTCAGCAGAAGATATCTGCACAAGTCACAATTGATAAAAAAAATTTGGTGAAAGTTTGAAAAGTTACAAAAGAGAGAATTCAAAATTGGTTCAGCATAAAAATTAGCCAGAAATGCTCACTTTTTTATATAGGTTCATAAGATTAGAATCATCAAAAGGCAAGTAACCTGCAAGCAACACGAAAAGTATAACCCCACACGACCACAGGTCTGCAGTTGCTCCATTGTAGCCTCGATCATTCAGGACCTAAGCAGATTTGGAGCACATCAATTAGACCAGGGAAAAAGAAAGGATGAGCTGATGCGCAAAACAAGAGAAAATTTGCATATTCTAATAATATATACCTCAGGAGCAACATAATTTGGAGTTCCACAGGTGGTGTGCAATAAACCATCATCCTGTAGAATAAATATTTTGAAATTGTCAATATCAGTTAAAAAAAAATACTTCAAAAGGTATAAAAGGGAGAGTAGCTCACGATTTTTGCTG